CATGTTACGTATTAAAAGATGAAACCATCTAGTTTTGGCGAAATTTCAAAAAAGTGAATGAAAAATGCATCCAATATCTCAGAGATTATATCTTTAGTAATTGTTTTCAATTTCTGCAAGATACACAGACAAATAAAACAAAACAGGAGCTTCACAACATTTTATTAAAGAGCTGTTAGTTCCAAAGGGAGTTTTTGCAAACACAACATGCGATGATCTGATCATCAATCCCCTCCACGAAATTCTCTTTCCCACCATGTGATGTTGACAAGCAATTAAAGAATACTAAAACTAGAACCGCACAGCCCCCTTCTTATTCAGCTCTTGATTGGCCAGCTCGAGAAGACAAGATGATACCAACAATGAGACCATAAAGGGCCAGTGCTTCCGCAAAGATGAGGATAAGGATCATTCCAACGAAGAGTTTTGGTTGCTGTGCGTTGGCCCTGTAAAAGAAATTCATTCAGGTAAGGTTTTGCTTAAACCAATTGCAAAATGCAGGTTCAAAAGTGGGACACATTCAATTACCAATCAATTGGAGCATATTTGGATTCATGATATCACCATCATTATATCTTTTCAATTTAGTTATTATACTTAATTAATGTCAATCAATCATCATAATCTTATCATTAAAATGACACTGAAAGGAGACTATGCTGTTGTATGCTCAACAAAGGGATACATCAACCACACAGGAAAGTTAGACAATATTAACATGTTAAAACCACTGCTCAACAACATGAATCAAATATATGCGTGAGATTGAAATATGTAGAGAAAATGCATCATACCTGACACCTGCATCACCAACAATACCAATGGCCATGCCAGCAGAAAGCCCAGCAAGTCCACAAGCAAGGCCTGACGAGAGATGTGCATAACCGTCGAAAAGGTAATACGATTTGGCCTTGGGGTTAATCCCAGTACTGATAATGACAGCAATAATCAACCCATAAATACCCAAAACACCAGCCATAACAACTGGAACAATAGACTTCATCACCAACTCTGGTCTCATGACACCCATTGATGCCACACCAACACCACTCTTTGCAGTTCCATATGCAGCTCCCATACCTAATTCACCAAAAATATCTTCAATTTAGACTCGAAAGAAAGAAAGAAAAAAAATCATTCGTCTCAATCCTTAGAAGGCCATAAATTTGCTTATAAAACCCATAATTTTCCATTTTTATTTGTATGGTATGATATTGTATTGGATCAACAAACCTAAAACTAAACAAATAAACGATTTTTACGATCTGGGTTATCTTGTTCTCAGAAAAAGTACAAACAATTATACTCTACTTGGTCAAATCAGAGAAAAGCTGCTTAATATTTTCAGGTTCTCATAGTCTAACGCAGGATCCATTTATGGATCATCAAATTCTAAAAAAAAAGAATTACCAATTTCAATAGGTTTAGCAAATATCAATACAAACAAAAACCGAACACAGAATTAAAATTCAAATTTCTTTACTTTCATTATGCCATCATTAACAATAAAAAAAACAGCAGACAAATTGAAACCGATCAAGATCTCTATCAAAAAAACATGAACTAAATTCAGGATTGGGCGACGGAATATGCTTACATGAGAAGACGAGAGCAGCGGCGGCACCCAGGAAGCCGAAGAACGGGGCCGTCTCATCGCCGCTGAAAGTCGAAGACATTGTAGATCTGGTATGATGTGGTTGGATCTAGGAGAAACAAAAAAATTCCAAGAGTTTGTGTCGAGAGAGGCTTCGAATTTCGATCTCTCCCTGGTTTCGTTGTGGAGCAAGGGAGGAAGAAAGGAGTAGAAGGAAATCGCCCAGTTCCGGCTAATTTTATGCTCCGGGTATGGCAATCTGATTATTTGGGTTTTGGGTTGGTAGTTTTGGATTCCCGAGTTCAGTTCAGGCCCATAAGGTTATTGCATTTGGGTTTTATGTGGTAAGGCCTAGTAAAGGTGTAATGGGCTAATAGCATTTGCTTGAAATTTAGGAATTGAGATTAAAAAAAAAAAATGTTTTGGTAATTAAAACATCATAATTTTATATGAAATTATTTAAACATTTTAATAAATTAATATTTAGAATGTTTATATAATTAATAAAGTGATTAATTCATTAAAATAATTTAAAAATTAACATGTATAATTTATATAAATAAAAATTTTAATATATTTAAAAGATGATTTTTAAAATATTAATTTAAAATAAAATTTTCTAAAATATTTTTAAGATGACGAGCTGCACAATCCTTCCTTTTTTTCATATATATGTACTCCCATTAATAGAGAAAAAGTTTCTAATAATGCAATGGTCAGACAACGATTAAGGCGACGAATCATTTTATCACCGACAGATTCCAAAAGATCGTTAGAGTCGCTGACCTCAATTTTTTTTTTTTTTACTAATCTTAATTATCAAAAAATTATATTATATTTTGATTAATTCAAAATCGAACTGAATTAAACCTTATATAAGGAAAAAAAAATTTAATACTTATTTTTTTATTTACATGATTTAAATTTAAAATTTTATTTAAAAAAATTAAATTTATTCTATTTGAACGAACGAAATAGTTGATATTTCTAATTTTTTTCATTTCGTGTGGTGTGCAGTTATTTTCTTTGGCATGTGTACAAGCTGACGATTGCTGCCGACAAAGATGCAGTGTGAAGGTCTGATGGACCTCCACCGACGGTAGCTTTCAAATCTGCTGAATGGTCATTTTATTTTATTTTTTTGGAACAAGGTGAATTTTGGAGCAAGAGCAAATATTACAACTTTTTTTTTTTTTTTTTTATAGAGATTTAAACTTTAGCAGTAGTGCTGTAAAATGGTTAATTTTAAGTTATAGTTATAGTCACATGTAGTTGCAATTTAAAAAAATTAAATTTTTAATTTTTAATTAAAATTTAAAATTCAACTTATTAAATGTTAATAGTTAGATTTAGAAATTGATTATATATTTTAATATATAATTAGTTTTTAAATATAAATATTAATATTTAATAAAATAATTTTTAAAATTTTAAATTAAAATTTAATTAAATAAAATAAAATAATTTAATATTAAAACTTTAATTTATTTTAGTAGTTGAAATTGATATATATTTTTTCTTAAATACATTGTAAATTTATTTAATTTAATTAATTTTATCAATTTATAACTAATTTAAATGAAGGGAAATCAGTTTTGCAAGTTGTCTTTTTAATTTTTTTAGAATATATATATATATATATATATATTAAGATTAAGATACAACGGCCAAACCCTTGTGTCAATGTACGTACACATGGGACCTATGATATGCTGTATTTTCAAAAATTATTTTCTTTGGCAAGATTCTAGGCTGTGTGGACAAGCTCAGGATTTCAGTAAGAGATGATACATATTTACTGGGTTAGAATTCTAAAAAATTTGCACTAACTTCCTAGTGGGTTTGCAATGTACATAAAATATTTTGTTAAGGTTTAATTTTCTTATTAAAATTGTTGTAATATTTTTTTTCTTGAAAATTTTCTTGATTAAAAAAAAAAGAACTCTAAAAAAATTTTTAAAAAATAATTTAGAAATATATTATTTTGACAAAATATTATAAAAAAATAAAAAATGTCATTTATATTTTAAAATTAGATTATTTTAATGTTTTTAATAAATTGAAAATTAAATTATTTTATATTATTTAATAAAAATTTATTAAAATGATGCAATTTAAAGATATTTTTTCTTAATTAAAGATCCAATGGCTAAAATCTTTTATATGCATACATGCATGGGACATACCATATGCTGTATTTTCAAAAATTATTTCTTTGGCAAGAGTAGGCCATGTGTGCAGGCCAACGATTTCAGTTAGAGTGTCATGGAAGATGGAACAGTAGCCTTCCCTTAATTAGTTTTTTTTTTTTTTGCAATATTGTTTGAATAATTTTTTTGCATAGTATTTTTAGAAGTGTGAAAATTTAAAAAAAATGATTTCTTGGTAAGTAAGTTCCATCTTGTAAACCATGCCTAGTATTTTTATTTTTTTTTGTGTGTTAATCTCAAAGTTTGAACACTAAACTTAGATTACAAGACGACACTTACTTACCAATTGATTCAACTATTAGAGTTAGTTGCACAATATATTTAAAAAGTATTATACTATTTATGTAAGGGTGGGTGTACTCTAATTTATTTTCCTTTTGTGCCAAGCTCAACTCTAATATTTCAATTATAATCATTTTAAAATCCAGACAATTATTTCATTATAATTAACAAGCCTCTTCCAGATAGACATTTACTTTATTTTCATTATCTCCCTCATATCAAACTTTCTATGATAAAGCATCACTGTTGAGTGTTATTGTTCCCATTTCCATCTAGAGTAAAAAAAAAAACTAAAATTGAACATGGATGGTAAAATTTTTTACACAAATAATGTTAATTAATTCTGATGCATATTATTTTATTTTGTCTTCCGAACTTCCCTATATAAAGTGTCACATGAATATGCCCGTTTCCTGCACCAGTGCTAGTTAGCTCCAGCATTTCTGAATTTTGACCCACAGGGAAGCATATCTAGATAGATGGGAATGGCAAAGATAACCCTCAACGGTGGATTCCAGATGCCGGTAGTCGGACTTGGCGTCTGGCAGATTGGTTATCGCCATTAGAGACCTCATTCTCCATGCCATCAAGATTGGTTATCGCCATTTCGACTGTGCTGGTAAATCACCAACAATTAACAATATGTTTTGTACATTTTTATATTAATGTATCCCTCCAAAATGTCCCTTTCTTGACTTATACATATAGTTTCTTTGCATGAATACACCTTAATTTTACGAAAATGATGGTTGGTACTGCTTGTTATATTGCTTTTTGTTTCAGCTAATTACAGAAGCGAGGCAGAAGTTGGAGAAGCTCTTTCGGAAGCATTTAGGACTGGCCTTGTGGAGAGGGAGGAGCTTTTTATCACAACAAAGGCCAGTAGTCTAATATATTATTGGATTTTGAGATTATATAAATTCTTCGCTTTCATTTTCCTTGGGAAAATATATGAAGATGAATACTAATGTTGTTTTTGTGCATTGCAGCTATATGGAATTCCGACCATGGACATGTTTTAGAGGCCTGCAAAGACAGCCTCAAGAAGCTTCAACTGGATTATCTCGATCGTTATCTTGTTCACTTCCCCATTGCCTCTAAGCACGCAGGTTAATTGAAATTATGTATGATATTTTTCAGATCCGTAATTTTAAGGAACCATTAGTAATACGTTCACGAACGCATGCACGCAGGGGTGGGTACAAAATGGGTCTGCTTTCGACAAGGACGGGATGCTGGACATAGACACCACTATTTCCTTAGAAACCACATGGCACGCAGGGGTCGGTGCCGTAGTTGTAGTCCTGGGTGCTCTTGTAGTGATGGCGATTTTGCAGCGTGGAGTTGGAAAGATGAAGGCACTTTGCTTAGGTCAAATTCTGGGACTAGTGAAGGTTGCTGGTGGAGTTTTTGTTTTTTTTTTTGGGGGGGGGGGGGGGTGTTGAGGTTGGGCTGGATCATGGTTGTTCTATTGTTGAGAGGAGGTGGTGTTCTAGGAGAGTTTAACAATACAAGAGAAAAAGATCATTGCGATTTTAATTTTGCTGTCAGCATTATGTAGGATTTGGAGGTTTTGTAATAGGAAGGATATTTTCATTGGTGTTCAAAGCTCTATTCAAGGCAATTTGATGGTGGATTGGAAAGATCTAGTGTGGCTTATGCTAAAGGATCGAATGATGGATGTAGGACTGGTGATTAGTGGTCTCTTCTGGCTTCTGAATTTCAAGTAGCTATGCTTCCGGTTTGTTGTAGTGCTGTAACTAATACTTAAAAGGTAGGAGTTTAGTTAAGAGTTAATTCTTTTGTTAGTTTTTATTTATTTATTTTATTTTATTGATATCTATTGTTTATCCTAGTTTGTATTTTAAGAGATTTAGCACCTTTTAACCTATGAGAATTATAAACTATATTATGTTGTTTCTCTATAACAGGAAAAATTATTCTATAGTTACTTTACTTCTTTGATTAATATAAAGCTTTACTTCTTTTTTTTTAAAGAGAGTATAATTTAGACACTAAAATTATTAAATTATCATTAATATAAAAAATGTTATTAATAATATTTTAATAATTTTAATGTCCAAACTGTATTTTGTAATATATAATTTGACTTAAAAATCTCTTTTTCTCTTGTGTGATGGTAATACCTAAATAATTGAGATTGAATTTAATCTCCCACTTTGGAAATTTGATGCCTAAACACGGAGCGCCACACCCTGTGGGGGTGGCGGGTTGGGGCCAGCGGGGCTTATTAAAAGAACCCACCGTCCCAGTAGCTCGCAAGATGTGAAAAACCACAGGCCTCATGGGCCACTGGTGCCATTGCAAATGCATGTATCCATGTGGTGAGCACCAAAATTGTTGTCCAAACAACGAACAGGTAGGAAAGGTGAGTTAGAACTTGTCAATGATTTAACGGAAGCTAATTTGAGGAAAAACCTTTTTTTTTTTTCTTTTTTTTTGGTTATTATCCTTTATCTCACCCATCTCATTCACATATTATACAATTTGAACTCAAAATCTCTTATTTTCATTAGAT